CATCACCACCACCATCACCACCACTAGCAACAACAACACCAAGGGGTGATCCTGGCAGTGTCGCACATGACACAGGACCACCATGTGGTGATTCAAAGACCAGGGAAGGTGGGGGAAAGACCAGAAAGATGGTCCCTTGAGAATCCTCAATGACAACGAACAGTCACAATAACCGCGTGAGCTGCCCCCCGCCTGGCCGGGCCGTGGCTTTGGCTGGACCGTTTTGTGGAGACCACCACTGCGTGTTACTGAGGAGACGAGTCTGCAGCTTCCCACTGGTCACAGGGACAGTTTCACACGCATTCTGTTTGCAATCAACCGAAATCCTGGAGCAATACTTTTTGGACTGAGCCTCCTGTCATCTGATGCCACTGATGTGAACTATCCAGAACCAGCAAATGCATAAGCCCCAGGATTTCCCGGGGCTGGTGGGCGGGGGGTTGGTTCTAGAAGAGTGTTGACCTCCCCTGATGAGGGGTGGTGCGAAGGCTCGACAGCGTCCTGGGGACCACAGGTGGCTCTGTCGGACATGTGGACATGGCTGGAATGGGAATACTCACTCACAAATCGATCTTATTATAACACAACGAGATGGGCCTACAAGAGGTTTCAGAAGTGCGCTTTCCGTCCACGTATGAAGCTGGTTGCCACTGAGAGCCTGGGTAACCCCGTGTGTATCCGAGTGAGTGAGCTGTGCTTCACAGCCTTCTTGCTTCCTGGGGCTGCCTTCTCAGGGGTGCACTGACCACCAGGCCTTTTCTTCCAAGGTACCTCTGCTGGGCCCAATCCCCGCCCCACCCCCACCCCCCTCCGCCTGGTGAGCAGGTGTGGGTGTGGGTCCTGACCACTCAGGGATCCACTTGTTGGAGACGTGCAGAATGGATGGCTCAGCAGGAAAGGGAGAAGCCGTGGTTTAACCCAGGCTTCGTGCGGTTCCCAAGCTCAGAAAGGTGGCTGGTGGCAAGTCTCCGTGGTGTAGACGAGGCTCCGTGTGTGATACGCGGAGCTTTGGAGTGTCCTGGGATGGTCTTCAACAAGAGCTGTGCTGTGTGTGTCCATAGAACAGAGCCCGCAGTCTGGGGGTCTCTGGGGTACCCTTTGGGCTTATGCATGCCCACAGTCTGGAGGACCTTTGGGGCTCATAAAGCCCTGTGGTTTGGGGGACCCACGGGGCTCATATTCCCCCAGTTTAGGGGACCTTTGGGGCTCATATAGTTCCTACAGTTTGTGGTACCTTTGGGGCTCATATAGCCGCACGATTTGGGGGGTTGTCTCTGGGGCTCATATGGTCCCCATGGTCTGAGGTACCGTTGGGGCTCCTTTACCCTGTGGTTTGGGAGCCTTTGGGGTCATGTGCGTGCTTCATCCTGCTGCCAGACGGAGGGAAGGCTTTTCGCTAAGACTTCTAAGCTGAAGCGAGGAGGAGTGCGGTGGTCCAAAGCACTCGTGCTTATTTGGACTTCCAGCGCTCTGTGCGAGAACACACACGCTTGCTGGAATGTTTGGCCGCTGGACCTGCTGGGTGCCGTGGGGAGCCAGCTAATGCAGGCCTGACGATCCTCACCTGCTCCAGCCCCTAGGCTCCAGCTCTGGCTCCAGGCTCACTGGGCAGACCCCTGGGAATCACTTCCACATCCTTCTCCCCCACCAGCCACATCCTGACCCACTCAATGTCCCCAAGGCCCGTCAAGCCAAGCCCCTCGGCTCCCACCACAGGCCTGTGACCTTGGGCATCTAAGTCAGTGCTGGGGTTTTCCCAGGGGCTCCCCCTCTTGGACATCCCTGTCTCCTCGGGGAACCCTCTGAACACGGGTCTGGGGAGTTGCTCCTCCCCTAAAACCACTGACCCTCAGGACAAGGGCACTCTGCAAGTGGTTCTGCTTGACCCCCTGCCCTTTCCCAGTCCAGTGCCCCTGGGTGGTCAGATCTGATGTCCATTTGATGCACCTGTGTGCAGGTAGCAGTGGAGTATCTCCTTGGGCTGTGGACTTTTGATGAGACGTGGAGGAGGACTGGCCCTCTCTTGCCCCTTGCCTTCCTGCCTACCTGTGTCCTGGGTTTCAGGACCCACCTGGCTGCCCATGTGGCCTGCCAACCCTGGGAGCTGTCAGCACCCTGCCAGGCCCTGCACCCTTGGGTCCACCCAGCTCTGTGTCCACCAGCCTGTGATCTCTCAGCGCCAGCTTCACGTTCCTGCTTCCTCTGATGGGTGCAGCGTGAGTCTGAGGGCCTCCGGCCAGCAAGCATCGACCTCAGGGACTTGAGTTGGCCTGGGCTGGGCTGGTGGATGTGAAATTCCTTCTTGGTATACAGTCCTTTCTTATACACCTGGGTCTTTGGTCTTGCTTCTCTGGAAAACCCAGCCTCCCACACTCGCCTTCCACCGAGACTCAGTGCGGGCCTCAGCCCTTGTGTGTGTGTGTGTGTGTGTGTGTGTGTGTGTGTGTGTGTGTGTGTATGATGGGTCTTATTTGAAAATGCATCCTGAGAGCTGCGCCCCTCAGCCTGGGGGATCACTGCTTCAGGAGACGAGCCCTCCTCCAAGCGGGTCACCAAGCTGCAGCCGAGAAGGGTGCTGGGTGAGAAGGTGCTGCTGAGGGCTGGCTCCATGGAGTCGCAGGGCCACGGGTGGCTGAGCAGTGCTGTGTTGCTTCCCAGTTGGCAGCAGGGCCACTGAGCTGTGGAGAAGCTGGTGGTGGGCAGCGCACCTGGGGGCCTGGGGGGGGACTAGCCGCGGAACGAGAGGACCAGGCTGCCCCTCTGGGTGCAATGAGCTGCACCCACGACAGACACAGCGCCGCTGTGCCGGGCCCAGCTGCAGAGGCGAGCTGAGCTGCCGTTGTCCAGAGCCTCCTGTTAGCTCCGGCACAGCTCTCCAGGGAGATGCGGACAAAGGCCGGTCTGCAAAGCTTCTGAACAAAGGCCTCTGGTCCCGCAAAGGGCCCTCCCTGCCTTTGGGGTGAGCCTGGCATGGGGTCACCGGTGTTTGCCTTTGATCTACCTCCACTTTGAGATGCTTATAGGAGAAACATCAAGTTCCTGATTGCCCCGGCCCAATCAGCGCATCCCCGTTTCCTGTAGGGCTCACACCTGACCTTGTGCCCTGATCACTTTTACTTATTGGGCAAAACAGAAGTCAAGATGGGTGATTTTCATGGGCTGTGTCCTCCCAAAGATGCCAGAGCCTAACCCTCCTGGACCTGATGTGGCAACAGGTCCCTGTCAGGTCACCGCAGCCCAATCTGCGCTGCAGCGTGCTGCGTCTTAAACCACGCAGCTTTGGGGACCCGAGAGAGCAGCCCAGAGACAGAGAGGGCAGGACACATGGGGGGAACGAGGTGCTGTGTAGGATCCCTGAAGGAACGATGAGAAGAACAGGGGGGAGCTGAGAGACACACTATGCCCCGGAGTCAGGGCCCCACGGGGGAAAACCCAGGTGTGCTGCTTGAAACTGCCCCCGGCGCCGGGTGTGCTGCTTGAAACTGCCCCCGGCGCCGGCTCTGCCACAGCACCAGGGGCACCAAGAACAGCGGGCTTTGATCGAGTTCCCGTGGGGAACGTTCAGCTCAGGCGAGATTACAACCAAGGTCCCAGGGCACTTACATGTCCCACAAGGACCCAGGCATTTCCAAATCCCACAAGGACTGCCCCCACCCCCCAGGTGCTCACAAGCCCCACAAAATCCGAGGACAGTCCCAAGCCCCAGGTGAGCGTGTTCTTGGACTGAGCTCTCAGGGAAGCGGGGCTCCCTCCCAGCTCTGGCTGTGGAGGAGGTTTGTGGGGGTTATCTCCTAAGTGGATACAGAATCAGGAAAACCAGCCCATCACCAGCCCACCCCACCCCCAACACATTCCTTGGGAGCTGCCGGGGCTCTTTGTGATCCTTGGGAGGAGGTGGTGGGTTTCTGTGACCAGGCGGCATGCAGTGACCATGGGCAGGGTCTGAGCGAGTCAGGGTCTTGGCTTCCTCACAGTCTTGGAGACACTCAGCAGGGACACCCTCCGGGCACCCCTGTGGGACTTCCAGTGGAGGCTACTCCACAACCACGTTTCACCTGACCCACCCGGCTGCTTCCCATCGAAGCTGCTTTCATCTATGCCTGTCTATCTGTTTTTACCCGCTGACCACCTGTCGAAGGCAGGCAGGCAGCACTGCTGCTTCAGGAAGACACCTTCCACTTCCTCTGAGCAGTCCACGGAGCGCAGGTGTGCTGGGTAGGGGCACGGTGGGAGAAGCTAACGCAGGGCAGGTGGGCCTCTGGCAGGGCTTACCTGCCATGCTGCAGTCCACTCTCTGGAGGCAGGGCTTACCTGCCATGCTGCAGTCCACTCTCAGCGGGGGCAGGGCTTACCTGTCATGTTGCAGTCCACTCTCAGCGGGGGCAGGGCTTACCTGTCATGTTGCAGTACACTCTCAGCGGGGGCAGGGGGCCGCTGCCGTCGGGGTCGATCCAGTAGTAGTTGGAACTCTGGCCCAGGTGCTTGTAGGCCTCGCAGGACGGCTCGTAGATCGCTGAAAGGAGAGGCCAACGTGAGCTCAGCAACAGTGGTCACTCCCCAGGGACCTGCGTCCCGGGTCACAGAGCCACCATGGGGGCCCTGGGGTGAGGACCCTTCTACAGTGAGATGGAGCCACACCTCGGACTCGGAGGCTCTCTGCACCAAGGGCGACACCAAGTTGTTGGTGCGGCATCCAAGCTGCGGACGAAATGCAGCCCCATCGCTGGCAAATGTGGAGTCTGTCCAGCGGGCCCATGTTCAGGGGCAGAAGGACAGACTTTGCCTGCTCTTCCTCACGGTGAGCGTCTTTGTGTTGAGAAGCCGCCACTGCCCTTCTATTGGGTTGGGTTACCCAAAATCTCTTTCTCTTGCACACGCACACACACACGTACACACGCAGGCACAGGTAGAGTTTCCTTTCTTCTTCCTTTTTGGATTTTGCACAGCTGGTATAAATCCTGCTCCCCTAGCATGTATCCCAGAAGCTTACTGGCCGTCGGATCTGAGGACAGGGAGGAGGAGAAGGAAGAGGAGAGGGACCAGGAGAGGGTCCCAATGCCCAGACACTTTCGATTTGTGCCCCAAATGTGTAGATACTACATTCCGTCACAGGTTCTTTCTTACTTTCTTCTCCTGGGGCCCAGTGGGCTTCTGCTGTCCCACAAGGCCTGCCCCAGCCCTCGGGACATGTGCAATCCCTCTGAGCAAGCAGCTTGTCTCCGTGGCAGGGGCATCTGGGAAGAGCAGGAACTCAGGTGTGTGAGGCAAAGGCAGCATGATCTGAAACAGGTATCTGTGCCTGACCTGGGAGCATTGGGGCCTGAGGCACACCCTCCAGACCTTCTCCCCCAAAGCCTCTGGTCCCCGAGCTTCCTCACTCACAGGAGACGGGACCTCAGCTACGTCCACCTTCGGCTGGCCCCAAGCCATGTGCAGCTCTTTGACTTCCAGTGGAAAATACGTCCTTCTGCAGACAGGCATGTGCACACAGGATGGGCCCCCTGCAGGGAACTGACCAGACCCCGGCCACTGGCTCCATTGCTGTGCAGGCTCTCCAAGGCGGTCAGCCTCTCCAGGAGAAGCGGCCTCATCTTTCTCCTGCCAAGTAGCTGGTGGATTTGAACTGCTGACCTTGTGACCAGCAGCCTGCAACTACCCACTAGGTGTATGCCCCTGAAAACCCACCCTCAGACAGCTGGATGAAAAACTGTGAGGCCAGGTCACCTGGGACTACCCTAGGGTTGCCACTGGATACAGAGACAGGGGAGGGAGTGGCCAGGCAGGTGTCCCACACCCTGCAACTGTGTCACCCACAGCAGGTGTGTCCCCTATTTCAGGTGTGTCTCCCTCCCCAGGTGGGTCCCCCACGGCACCAACATACTGGTCATGACACCGTAAGATCCAAAAACCCCAAATCTCTGCCACTGAGTCGATGCTGACTCACATCGACCCTGCCTGACAGGGTAGAACTGTGAGCTTCTGAGACTGTCACTCTTTGTGGGAGTAGAAATTCTCGTCTTTCTCCACGGAGCGGCTGGTGGTTTTGAACAGTTGACCTTGTGGTTAACAGCCTGTCGCAAAACTACTACAGCTTCAGGGCTCCAGCCCTTAGCTAAGCGACATTTTATCATCAAGATACTTATTCTTATTTTGGCCTTACCCTGCTTCTCCTCCTCTGAGGAAAGCCTCCCTCATCACCGTGCCTGTTTCTCCCACATGCTGTCCGTATCCCTGGTGGCACAGTGGTTAAGGCACTCAGCTGACAACCAGAAGGTCAGCGGTTTGAGCCAGCAGCCGATCCCTGGGAGGAAGAAGAGGCAGCCTGCTCCTGCGGAGATGGCAGGCGGGGTCCCGTGAGAAGGAGGTTCTGGGGTCCACCCGTCTGCCTGATGGACTCACTGACCGCCCATGGGCACCACTGGTCGTGGACATCCTGACCCCAGTGGGCCTCTCTCTGTTTACCTGTGTCATGTGTCCCAGCTGATTCACCCTCTCCCCACCCTGCTCTGGCCTGGTGAGCTGGGGGGTCTGAGCAGGTCAGAGCGTAACCACGCTCAGCCAGCAGTGAGGAGCTGGACAGGATGCTGGCCTGCTGCACTTGGCCCCAAGCATGCAGGGGCTGTATCGTTTGTGGTTTATCCATTTGTGGCTCCGACTTCAGGAAGCCAGACTGTTCTAGGCCCCACACTCAGCAGGTATTCTCACTCCACAGGGCCGGGCCACCCCCGGGCGTTTCTGAGACGGTAACTTGTTATGGGAGTAGAAAGCCTCATCTCTCTGCTTTGGCAAAAGCGGTTGGTGGTTTCGAACTGCTGGCCTGTAGCAGCCCAATGCACGACCAGTGCACCACCAGGACTCCTCAGCAGCTGCCAGGCCTCGTCTGCCACCCGGCAGCCCCGTGGTGAATGAGACTCTTGGACGGTAGCAGAGCTCATCTCCCTGGGTCAAAGAAGATTTAAATACAGACCACGCCACTCGCAGAGGGAGTGTCTGTGGACACTGGGGCAGCTCAGGCAATGGGCATGATCTGGGTTTCTGACAGTCTCCCAAGGAATGCTGAGCCTGACCAGGGCTGTCTCCAACTCTGTGGGGGATGAGCAGTATATCTCTGAGACGGGCAAGCTTCAAAAGCTTCAGGTGCACAGACTCCCCCGAGCCCCCAAAGCCACTGCCTTCCAGTCAATTCTAATTTGTCACCACCCTACAGGACAGAGCAGAGCTACTCCCTAGGGCTGCTCCTTATGGGAGGGGACAGATAGCCCACTCTTTCTCCCAAAGAGGGGCTGGGGTTCCCACCAGCTGGGGTGGCAGCTGGCGCCTGAGCGCTAACACCACCAGGCGTCCTTGCAGGTGCATGTCAATTGAAACCAAAAGTAAAACCTAAACCACCTTCCTGACTCACAGTGCCTCACTGGGGTTTCTGTGGCCTCGTCTCCCAGGGAGAGAGCAGCCCGGCACTTAGACCGCGGCGCCACCAGGCTCTGGAGTGATGGTTAAAGATGCATGACAGGCTGCCTGTGGTCTGAGATGGAAATGATGTCCGTGTCTGATCCTCAGTCACCACCCCAACCCCCATTCCCCGGGGAGCTCGTGTTCCTGTGTCAACTCTCCAACGCACTGCTCAGAAGAGGGGAGGTGGCAGCTGCCCACACCGGAGCCCCCAGACTCTGCCACTGCTCAAGGCCCATGGAGATGTTCCAGGGAGGCCATTTGCATTGTAATGGGAGCCCCTGGCGTCCTTGCTGTGAGCCACTGATCCAACACACAGCCTGGGGGAAGCAGGATCAATACCAGGACACTTACAAATGTCGGCGGAAAAATCCCATTACCTTTGCTTCCAAGCAGCTCTTGGAACTTCATGAAGCCTCGTCAGACACATTACTGCTGCCTAATGGAATGGTTGGACGTGAAACAGGAAAACCTCGGATTTGACACGCTGGAGCGATGGTGTGGGCAAAGAACGGTCACCATGCCTGCCCAAAGAATGAACGAGGCTGTCTCGCTAGAAGCACCGTCAGAAAGCGCCTCAGAGCAAAGGATGGCGAGACTTCGCCTCGTGGACACTGGACGTGTGGTTGGGGGAGACCAGCCCCCTAGAAGGACAGCCTGCTTGGAAAAGTAGCGGGACAGCGTGGAGGAGGAAGGGATGGGAGGGGCTCACAGGCTGCTACGAGTGGATAACTCAGCAGCACCGGAGGCACAGGGGCACTTGTGGAGGGCACCATGCCATCCGGAGCAAGCCCCTGGCTCCCTGCCACAAGCAGAACGCAGCTGTCCGTCACCCACCCCACCCCCACCCCCCAAAAGCCTTTAGCTACTCGAAGTCCAAGATCCCCTCTTCTGAATCATTGATGTGAACTATAGTGGAGACTTCCGGGGGAGTTCCTTCTGGGGACGTATGAATGTAGGCGCACGTCATCTACTTCCCTGGGCCCGCGGTGAGAAGGCACCAAAACGATTCACATTTGCTCTCTGGCTTGAACAGAACGCTCTCTGTTCCGAGGCCACAGGCCATGCTCCTGTTGTCCGTGCACACTCTCAACTCTGCGCAGACCCCATGGCCCCGGGCTTCAGCGCCATCTCCTGGAGTTTCCAGTTGACAACGCATCCTTAGAAGTTCTGTCTTCCACCAAGCAAGTGAACACAAGTCAGGCATAAAGAGCATCCCCCTTCCTCCAGGCCCAATCGCATGTTCATCACTGTCTTTTAAGCCCCCCCAGCACCATGCTGAATCTCCCCGTCTTGAGCAAGCGTCTATTGCTGACATCATACATCCTGTGATGTCTTTTCTCTGCCAAGGGTCATTTGAGTATGCAGAACATCACTCTCAGGTCATACTGGTCAAACGTTGAATTAACTCACGCCAAATGTGCTGGCTGTGACTGCTTTTTGGTGAGGCATGTGCTGTGAGCTGGTGTGAATGGCTTTCATGGCTGAGGGCTGGGCGCTCCCCACCCTTGCTCTACAACGACAGAACTACGACTCTCCTCATTGTCCTCTGAGCCCTCCTGAGAATGCCCTTTGACCTAGAATTTTTTTTGCCATGATTCTACCAACAGTCTCTTGAAGGCAATCCATATTTCCATGATTAGGAGCCTTGCGACCTTTCCCAGCCTCTGCTCACAACCCAATTCCAGAACACTTCTAGATGTTTGCAGGAGCAGCCCCTCACTTCATGACACGC